TTTAAATGTTCTGGAAATCTCACCCTTCTTCCAGAACGCGTCGTTTTAAGTTTATTTTCGGATACTGTCGAAGTATCTTCGTGTGTGTTGGTTGTCGGATGAGGTATTATTAGTGTCTGAGTCGTGTCGTTCGATTGTACCGAAGGAAAATCGACGTGGATAGGATTTCCTTCTAAATACGCTGCTTTTAAGCGATCGATGCTGATGCTATCGTTGGTTCCGTTCTTATCGACTATATAGTACTTAGATTCACGTTGAAGAACTTTGAAGGGTCCTTCGTATGCTGATTCGAATGGTCGTCGATGCGAGTCTCGACGAATGAAAACGTGTGTACTATATGGTAAGTCAGGTTGAACGAAAACATCAGTTGATTGAGGTCGAGTGGAAGCAGGTTTAACTGAACGCATTGCGTTTGTAAGCCTGTTCGTGTAGGAGGTTAGATCCATGTTCATCGAAGAGCACGAAGGATCCACGAATTCTCCTGGAAGTCGAAGTGTCGTTCCATAAACGAGTTGAGCCGCAGTGTATCCAATGTCAGCTTTCACTGCATTGCGGATACCTAGTAAGACGAGTGGAAGAGCGTCGGTCCATTGTGAAACGTTTGCAGCTGATAGCGAAGCTTTCAGTTGTCGGTGAAAACGTTCTACCAACCCGTTTGCTTGGGGATGGTAGGCGGTCGTTCGGAAGCGAGTGATTCCTAAAAGTGTGGTCAGACGACGGAAAAGATCAGATTCAAACTGACGTCCGCGGTCTGTAGTGATGGTTGAAGGGCAACCGAAGTTTGCTACCCATCGTTCGACGAATGTGCGGGCCACTGTTTCAGCAGTGCTGTCCTTGATAGGTACTGCTTCTGGCCATCGAGTGAAACGGTCTACGCAGGTTAAGAGATAAGAGTATCCATTTGAATCTGGTAAAGGTCCTACCAAATCCAGATGAACATGGTCGAAACGAGCATCGGGAGTTTTAAACGAGCCTAAGGGACATTTATTGTGTCTGATAACCTTAGATTTTTGGCAGCTTACACAGGAGCGTGCCCACTCCCTCACGTCTTTATTCATGCCAGGCCAGCAAAATCGTTCTGCTATAAGCTTGATGGTTGCACGAACACCTGGATGAGAAAGTTTGTGCAATGTGTTGAAGACATTGCGTCGATAATGTTTCGGCACGATTGGGCGATCCCTACCTGTAGATGTGTCACAAAGTAAGGTTTCCTTACCTGTTCCCATCTGTTTGATGCGTAGTTTAAGTGTTGTGGACGATAACTCGTGCTGAAGATCACTGTCTTCTTTTTGAAGCTCGGCGAGTTTAAGAAGGTCGATTCCTTGGAAACTGTTCAAGGAAGTTATACGAGATAAAGCGTCTGCAACTACATTGTTTGCTCCAGAGATGTGTTGAATATCTGAAGTAAACTGCGAAATGTAGTCCAGTTGTCGAGACTCACGGGGAGAGTACTTGTCAGAAGGAGAGCTTAACGAGAAAGTGAGCGGTTTATGGTCCGTGAAAAGAGTGAATTCACGGCCTTCGATATAGTGTTGGAAATGCCGTACAGCACAATACATAGCTAGGAGTTCCCTACCGAATGTGCTGTACCTCGATTCGGTGTCTAGCAACCTTCTAGAGAAAAATGCCAAGGGTTGCCAGGAGTTGTTAACCCATTGTTGTAAGACTCCTCCGATTGCTGAGTCGGATGCGTCTACTGCGATGCTAATGGGTGCTCGGGTGTCCTGATGTGCGAGCATTGTTGCTTTAGCAATCAGTTCCTTGACTGTGGAGAATGCTTTTCGTGCGGTGTCGTCCAAATTAATGGATTTCGCATTTCCACGAAGTTGGTCGGTCAGAGGTTTCATAAGTGATGCGCATCTGGGTATGAAACGTCTATAGAAACTTACCAGGCCGTTGAACGTGCGTAATTGCTTGACGGTGGTCGGTTCTGGGTAATCCAGAATGGCCGCCACTTTGGTTCTAAGGGGTCGGATACCTTGAGCATCGATAGTGTGTCCCAGAAAGTCTAACGAGTCGGTTCCAAATTGGCATTTCTGAACGTTTACAGTTATGCCATGTTTTTGTAATCGTTCGAAAACAAGGTCCAGATGCTTGAGATGTGTTTCTCTGTCCGGACTTGCGATTAGACAGTCGTCAACATACGCGTGTACGAAGTTGAGACCTCGAAAAACGTCGTCTATGAATCTTTGGAATGTTTGAGCAGCATTCCTTAGACCGAAAGGCATTCGCAAAAATTCATAGAGTCCGAAGGGAGTTATGATAGCCGTTTTCGGTATGTCGTCAGTAGCCATAGGGATTTGGTTATACGCTTTAACCAAGTCGATTTTCGAAAAGACAGTTGTACCTTTCAAGGTAGCTGTCAAATCGTGAATGTGAGGCAACGGGTAACGATCGGGAATGGTTTTCGCGTTCAATCGCCGATAGTCACCAGTTGGACGCCAATCGTTGCTGTCCTTTTTAGGGACCATGTGCAACGGAGATGCATATGGGCTACTTGACGGTCGTATGATTCCTAAGTCCATCATGTGATCGAATTCGTTTTTCGCTAACCTTAGCTTTTCAGGAGCTAGTCGTCGTGCTTTAGAAAATACAGGTGGTCCTGTAGTCGTGATGTGATGTGTAACATTGCTGGTTACACACGGTAGTTTCGGTTGAGTTTGTTGTATCCCAGGGTACTTATCGAGTAGTGGTTGATAGAGTGGGTCTATCATATGTTTAACTGTGACTGGGGATACTCTACAACCAGTAAAAGAAGTTACGCAAACGGACAAATTAGTGTTTCCGTCTACTAGCCTCCGTTTGCGAGTGTCGATGATCAGATTGTGGTGTTGTAGAAGGTCCATACCAATGATTGGCATAGAAACATCTGCAACGACGAAAATCCAGTGGATGGGTTTGCGTAAACCCACGTTAAGGTAAACGTACCTTTTGCCATACGTAGCGATCGGTTTTCCGTTTGCCGCCTGTAAGTTTAGGGTCGATTCGTGAAGTCGGTCGTTAGGATTTGCTGGGAGAACGCTAACTTCTGCGCCAGTGTCGACGAGGTAGCGAACTCTCGTTGTCACATCTGTGACGAATAACAGACGGCTTTGTTCGCCGGCTACGGTTGCCGTTAACGCGTGCCGGCTTGGAAGTTTCCCGAATCAGTCGGTTTCGTGTTGGGAAAATTGCAGGGTTTTCTGCAATTTCTGGAAAACTTTCCATACTGGTTATGATACCAGCACCAGTCGGGGTTATCTGTCTCTCGTGGTCTAGAGACAGATCGCTTACGAGAAATGCTTCTACGTGGTGTGCGCGATCTCTTACGGTCGGTACGAAGACTAAGATAACGCGTGAGTGTGTGACATAAGTCGGTTATGTCATTCTGAGTCGTGTGAGGCTTTTCTTTGACTGAAAATACCTCGGTAGTAGAAGGTTTCGTAATTTCTAGAATGCGGTCGGCAGATACAGCTAGTTCGTCTAAGGCGTTGTTCTGGAACGAGACCAGAACTGCTTGCACCTGTTGGGGAAGTTTTGACAAGAAGAGTTGTTTGAATAGACCTTCGTCGAAAGTTCTTGGGCCTATAACCTCTCTCATCCGTTGCAACATGTCCGTCGCAGAACCGTGTTGCAGGTCGATATTGTTGAAGAGTTGATCTAACCTTTGTCGATCGGTTAGGTCTCCTCGTTTAAGAATCGAGCGTTTTAAGATTTCGTAAGGATCGGAAACATCACTAGTAAACATACTAGGTGTTACGTACCTGTTGAATTCCCGCGGCAGTGCCTTGACTACTGCGAGGAATTGTGCACGTGTGTCGATCACGCCGTGCTCGGAAAAGTCGGCTTCTGCGTAGCAAAACCAGGCTTCGATGTTGTCGGGCCAGAAAGGCATCAGTTGAAACGAAGGTGGGGACAAGGTCTTAAGCTTGAGTACTTTAGGTGTCTGTTCAGTCATGATGAAATATGAAGTACGATAATGAACGAGGGGAAAATATATATATATATCCAAGAAAAACACGAAAAAAAATCACAATGTTTAAAAAAAATAAAAAATAAGGCAATGATATATAAAAATCCCAAAAAGGAACAGACTCACAGTTGCAATAAGGTGTACCAGATCACGACGGTCTCACCAATGATGATGTCACAGGTATTCAGTGTTTGACAACGCTTCTACCAGTAACACCTTCTAATATGTTTCGTTCCCACCAAGAGAAATCAAAAGACAGAGTCGAGGAGATCGGAAGAGTATATTTGGCGATGACCAATATACCGGGATTCTCTGATCTAATCTGGCTAGCGATTGTGGTTGATGTTGAGCACGGCGTTACTACACGTGATCTGGTGCGGATGCCTGACCGAGCGCCTTCAGCTAGATGAGTCCACTAAAACATATGGTCAGCATCCAATGTCGAAAACTTACAGAGCTATTTATTTTAGGGATTTATTTACCGCTACACGCTCATCCGGTTGATATGTATTTAGTAGACTTGTAGTGGCACTGGATTCTAACCACACAACCCTCAAAGCTGATCATGAGATAACTGGGAAAATAGATATCCAACATGCAACACCAAGAGAACGTCAATAATAGGAACATTAATTCAACTGGATGGCATGGCTCAGCCTTGTAGGAGTGGTTACGTTTTTCCCATCAAGTAGTCATTAAGTGGAACGCTTTACCTGAACAAGTGTTATCAGCACTATTAGTGAATATTCTCCAGAAGAAGCCGAACCTCCACTAGAAAATGAGCTGCGAGGATTAACACAGGTCTTCAAACCTACTATCCTTATTACTGAGGATTGAAGACTTTTATTGTTAATATCTTGTTTCACCTTTCTGTTGTAGGAGAAATGTCACACGGACTATACCATTCCATCGTCAGTAATTCTTTTTTGCCACTAAATTAAACTGCCTGAAGAACATCTCCTTTTCTAATACCATTATACAATACTTGAAATTTGAGAGTTTTGCCATTGGGAATGTGTACATGCTGAAAATGTATGCGCGTTGTTATTTCCAAGGTCATTAAGGACAAAGTTCGCCTAAATGGACCATCTAGTGACACTAAACGATGTAACTCATTTCTAAATGCTGTTTACGATGGTAGATCAGGTTGATTGGGTGAAAATACATTAAGTAGAGTTCTGTTTTTACAAATAAGTGAATCTTGTTGCACTTATAAGTCGACTAATCAACCTGGATCCAGGTTCGATCTAATTAGATCAATCCTCCCTGATTTTAATTAATTACTACACCGAATGTCAAAATCACACTTTTGAAGTTGTTGTAGCTCCTTGCTTTTGTATTTTGTCAAAAGCGGAATGATAGGTGTCTGTATCCTTCTTGAAATGACTAAAATTAATAGACATGTATGCTAATGCATAAATGTCTATAAATTTTATTTGTGGCTATAAGATGAATGATACATATATGCAAATCAGATTATTAGAAGCATCTGCTCCTGATGCAGATTACGATTGAAGTACATATTGCTCATTAAGCGTACTTGGTACTATTCCATGTATGGTAAGTAGTGTTTGCATGGATAAACGGTTTCCTCACTTTAACATCTACTCGCAACTTTCTTCTCGGTTCCTACCTATCGTCTGGTTTAAGTTATAAAACCAACGTTTGCAACACTAATATGTTATTTAGCTTTCTACTGTGGAGTAGTTCGAGGTGGTCTCTGTGGGGTGTCCAATACAAACGAATAGGTAACATGTATGTAACAAATTAGCATAAGTCTCAGGTTCTTGGTCTCTTGCATTTGGTCATCGTATTTGCTCCAGTTAACCCTAGTATAATATACGTTTCGGGGCATGTTATGTTGACCTTTACTTTGTTATTTAACAAATAAATAATAGGGTACTGCAAAATAATTATATCCAACATTTATGTAGTTCATCAGTTATTATAAGAATACTACATGTCTTAATTCTTTAGGACACAATATTTGTAAACATTCTATCACGACTTCTGAGAATATTTAGTGGTCTTGGGATAGCTTGTATATTCTTCGCAATTTTCTATCACTTCTATGGCTCATATTCTCCGCTGTTCATACAACATTTTCTCCTGTTTGGAAAGTCGAACCCTCAGTATTGTGAATATTTAAAGTATTCAAGAGTTCCTAAAAGGTAATTCTGTAGTAATGTGTCCTGTTTCAGTTTACTACACTTCAGAATTAGTTTTTATTGTTCCCCATTAATCATTGTCAAGTGTTTTATACAAACGTGTAGCTGTGACTCTTTTGCAAATGAATATGTTAGTATTTCTTGAATTCCCACCTTCATCCACACAAAAAATGTCAAGGGTAAGATAAATTTTTTACCTCTGTGTTTATTTTTAACATAAGATTAATGTACAAACCTATACGTACAGACAAAAAGAATACCCTTACTACGGACTTTTTTAAGAAAAACTGATTGCTAAGATTTGACTTGATAGTCTCAAATAAATTGAGAACTTGGCGTATCGTTCATGGTATTAGACATCAGAAATTTATTTTCCTACTCATTTTAATATTATAAATGTATCTAAGAATCTCGGTTGACCAGGATGTTAAATTGGTATTTATTGAATTGGCTTGGTAACGTATTGTACACATCAGAAAATCAGTCAGGTACAACGTAGAACCAAGCACATATATACATCGGTTCAAGTTTCCATACACCATTAACACAACAAGATGAACAAATTTATAGTACTTAACACAATGGTGGTAATATATAAAAGATAGATTGCATATAAGGATATATAATGAGACAACTACTTAGTTGTACTTCCAATCGTAATTGGATTACGAGTCAAGTGGAGAAGAGCAACAACGTGGTCTTATCAAAAAGTGACATCATCTCATCAGTGCACGCTTACATATACACAAATTTACATACATGTAGCTTATGAATCACCTTAACCGAAATGACATTGATTTATTCAGACTTGTTTTTTGATTGATTACATAACATTCTTGTTGTTCCGTTGTACTATTTAAACGGATTAACTTTTTATTTGGTTATTTATTCTCTGAATAAGTGGCTTACACTAAGTGACGAAATGTCAAAATCCAAATTTTCTACTCATTGGGATATTAGAAATATATTGTCTATTTAAAATGGAAAGAGGTTGTTGTATTCCCTCAGTCTGCCTGTGTTTTTATAGAGAACCCTCAAGATTATAGCAAACTCAGACACACCCTTCAACAGACTATCCCGGAGTATACTTACTTACTTACGCCTGTTACTCCCAATGGAGCATAGGCCGCCGACCAGCATTCTCCAACCCACTCTGTCCTGGGCCTTCTTTTCTAGTTCCATCCAATTCTTGTTCATCTTTCTCATGTCTATTTCCATTTCTCGGCGTAATGTGTTCTTTGGTCTTCCTCTTTTCCTTTGACCTTCAGGATTCCATGTGAGGGCTTGTCTTGTGACGCAGTTGGGTGCTTTCCTCAATGTGTGTCCTATCCACTTCCAGCGCTTCTTCCTGATTTCTTCCTCCGCTGGGATCTGGTTTGTTCTCTCCCACAGTACGTTGTTGCTAATAGTGTCCGGCCAACGGATCTGAAGTATTTTGCGTAGACAACTGTTAATAAACACCTGTATTTTCTGGATGATGGCTTTCGTAGTTCTCCAGGTTTCTGCCCCATATAGTAGAACTGTCTTGACATTTGTATTGAAAATCCTGACCTTGGTGTTGGTTGACAGTTGCTTTGAGTTCCAGATGTTCCTCAGTTGTAAATATGCTGCTCTTGCTTTGCCGATCCGCGCCTTCACATCTGCATCAGATCCACCCTGTTCATCAATGATGCTGCCCAAATATGTAAAGGTTTTTACATCTTCCAAATCTTCTCCGTCAATTGTGATTGGATTGGTGCATGCTGTGTTGTATCGGAGAATCCTGCTTTTCCCTTTGTGTATATTGAGACCTACTGCTGCTGAGGCTGCTGCCACACTGGTCGTTTTCTCCTGCATTTGTTGTTGCGTTTGGGATAGAAGGGCCAGATCATCTGCGAAGTCTAGATTATCCAACTGCATCTTAGATGTCCATTGTATCCCGCGCTTCCCTTCAGACGTTGACGTCTTCATGATCCAGTCGATCACCAGGAGAAAGAGAAAGGGTGAGAGTAAGCAACCTTGCCTAACACCGGTCTTCACTTCGAACGACTTTGTCAACTGTCCTCCATGCACGATTTTGCAGTGTAATCCATCATATGAATTCTGTATGATATTGACTATCTTCTGAGGCACGCCGTAGTGTCGAAGAAGTTTCCATAGTGTTGTTCTGTCCACGCTATCAAATGCCTTTTCGTAGTCAATGAAGTTGATGTAGAGTGATGAATTCCATTCAATTGATTGTTCCACAATGATCCGTAGAGTTGCGATTTGGTCTGTACACGATCTATCCTTACGGAATCCTGCCTGTTGGTCACGAAGTTGGGCGTCTACGCAGTCCTTCATCCTGTTTAACAATACCCTGTTGAAGACTTTTCCCGGTATTGAGAGAAGAGTGATGCCCCTGTAGTTATCACACTTGCTGAGATCGCCTTTCTTCGGTATTTTGATCAGAAGTCCTTCTTTCCAGTCTTTTGGTACTTGTTCCTCATCCCAAATCTTATTGAAGAGAATGTGGAGTATCCTTGCAGTTGCCGCTACGTCTGCTTTTAGTGCCTCTGCGGGATGTTGTCCGGTCCTGCTGCTTTGCCACTCTTGATTTGTCTGATGGCCATGCTGATTTCTTCAATTGTTGGTGGGCCAACATTGATTGGGAGGTCCGTGGGTGCTGCTTCGATGTTGGGTGGGTTCAGTGGGGCTGGTCGATTCAAGAGTTCTTTGAAGTGTTCTACCCACCTGTTTTGTTGCTCTTCAATGTTGGTGATTACCTCGCCTTCCTTGCTTTTCACTGGTCGTTCTGGTTTGCGGCGATTTCCAGAGAGTTTTTTTGCTGTGTCATACAGTTGTCTCATGTTTCCTTCTCTTGCAGCCTTTTCCGCCGTCGTTGCTAAATCTTCCACATATTTACGTTTGTCGGTTCTGATGCTCCTCTTCACTTGTTTGTTTACTTCTGTGTATTCAGCTTGTGCTTTGGCTTTTTCTGCTCTTGTTCGGCTGGTATTGATTACTGCCTTCTCGTTCCTCTGGAGTATAGTTCTGTCCAAAGAATCGAAGGTAGCCATGATATCAAGAAACAGCGATGGTTCGCCTGCAGTAAGTAAGCGGTACTACGAAATTTTGTGTGTGTGGGGGGAGTAAATATATGATCGATACACTCACGACGAGAACGAAAATCAGTCTGGTTTTGGATGTTTTGAAGTATGACCGAGGCTAATATTTCAAACACTATCGGAAGTAGTCTTACCCCCCATTAATTGAGTCCGATGACTGTCTTCTTATTCCAAGATGTTAGAGCACTCTATTCCCCTGACCTTTCCTAACAACGTAGTCAGTTCCTTAGCCAAAGGTTCTCTATCCTCCGCAGAAAAAACTAAGTTTAAGTTTTCTGGGGCTTCAGGAGTTTAAGTTCCTGGCGAACTTCCGCGTCGTTATGTGATCAGTCATCACCGGCCGAACTGCTTTTCGTAGAACTCCGTCCATTCTTCAAAGTATCACTGAATATATTTTATTGGCATTACATAAGCTTCATACATTGCCTCACTAACACCAGACTTCTTGATTGCAGAATTTCTTAACGTAAGAATCTGTGTTTATTGTTAAATTCGCGGTTAGCACGAGTAGACCAACGTGTCTCAATGTGTGAACCACCCAGTTAGCAATGCTGAGGCTAAATGAAGGGTATCAGTTAAGGTTGTTAAATTGATTCGTGAGATAATGAATCTTTATTGACTGGGTAATATGGAAATGTATTACGTATGCTCATCCACCGACTATCTGGACACCCAATTTTTGCTAATGTAGGAATAGGTTGGAAAGAAGCTATATGCTCCCGAATCAAACGTTCCATCAGCTCAAGTCATTCACTAATAAACGGAGTTGTGCAGCTAAGTTCAAATTACGTGGTTGGTTTCTACACGACTCGTAATAGTCCGAAATGGTAGGAATATATTCACTCTTTGTCTTTGCTTAGATCCCAAGTTTTGTATATTATCTTACAATCTTTTTTCATCCTGAAGACTTCTTGAATTATATCTTTTTCCTTTTCTGGTGCTACTCCTACTACTCTAGCGTCTCGCTGTACTGAGATAGTGTGGCAGCGTGGACAAATGCACATATATACCGGGTTGTATGTCGCATACGAATGACTGACTGAGGTCTAGTATTGATTAAATAAGTAATCCTGAGTCGGACCTTCAAATGGTGTTATTCATTTTTTCTTAATTCGCCGTTTTAGAGAGTTATAGCATCCCAACAGTTTTTCTTTATAATTTAGTATTCATGAAGATGGCTACCTCAAAGATAGGTTTCGTTGTAGGATAAAATCACACGAATCTGTTAAGTAATTCATTTTCGTGGTAACTTGTGACCTGTGGGATGTTCAGACTGAAAACTTCGTATTTTGGTATAGTCGCGTTCCGTTCACGTGTACTAATTCTAAATTCATTAGTTAATATTTCGTAACATTAATCAGTTCATGATATACCATTATTACTATCTGTTATCTTTACTTGCTGATATTAAGTTAAATAGTTTGTCAAGATCTCATGACATCCATTTCAAAGCCACATTTATGTAAATTATGGATTTCCATTTTTTTTTACCAAGTATTCTACTTAAAGATGTTTTATCAAAAACTGGCATTGTTTTCGGGATTGTTTGCATTCGTACAGCTGTTAGTATCTTTCTCACTTCGTTTGTCAATTTAGTTAATCATCAAGTATTCATTAACAAACTAAAATTGTTTCATATTTTTACACGTAAGCATTTCTTTTTCTCAAATTTCTCCGGTCAATAAATTAACTATATGCGTATTTATAAGTAATTGTATCAAATCTTTCTTTACAGATGGTTTAAATATTTTTACATGATTGGTATATTCTCTACATTATGTATCCTACTGGTTGAATTGTTTATGCTATGTAAGTGGATTTAACATTGTTTCTCATACCCTTGTATTTTGTCACTGTTGCAGCATACTTGTTACCCAATCCTTGTATTGTATACCACAATTATTTTGTAGTTGAATTCATGAGTCGATGTAGGCTAGACTACCATTGAAAACCTGGAAGCACTGTACTGCCGTTTCGTCCGACTATGGGACTCCTCGGAATCGCTCATACACAACCCTGCACTTACTACTCGAACCCAGGACCTACGTTTTTGCGCGTGAACGCTTAACCACTAACGCACTGAGCCGGCATTCAACAGTGTAAATGCCTAACTTTAGTCGACCCATGAATGGTTGCACAATCATTTATCCATTGTCTGAGGTAGATACCTGTCATTAACACCGCTGAATGCCGGCTCCGTTTTTAAGCGTTCACGCGCGAGACCGAAGGTCCTGGGTTCGAGTAGTAAGTGCGGGATCGTGGATTCGCACTGCCGAGTCCCATACTAGGACGAAACGGCAGTCCAATGCTTCCAGGTTTTCAATGGTGTTCTAGCTTACATGACTTATGAATTCAACATTTAAAATCACTACAGTCTTCACAAATCTCATTCTGATTATAATTATTTTGTAAGCATGCAACCAAATGAAGTTTTTCATGTTGTTGAACTGACTACTCTGATTTTAGGTACCATAAATGGATAGTAAAGCACAGTATTATTGCGAAATTTGTCTACTTGCTGTAAACTTTGCTATTTACTTTTTGTCATTATACAATAATTTTTTCTATTATTATGTAGCAAGAGGTTTAATTAATGAATAAATATTAAACTGTTTTAGTTCTAATTATTAAAAGTGTAATTCCTTTGATGTATCCTGTTCAATTTTAATCTACTCATGTCTCATTACGTTTAAATAACTAAAGATAAAAATTAGTTTGGTTAAAATATTAAATATGTATACTTTAATTATTGAATCCGGGAGGATGAAAATATTAATTTATGCAATTAGTTCCCTTTATGAACTTAAATAAAGCCAGAACAAATATTTATGCATCAATGTTTGTTCTGGCCTTATTTAAAATGATAATTACTTGAGTATGATTTTCGTTCAGTTTACTCTCATTGTACTAATAAATTCAGTCTGATTCTTGGTCCTTGTTTAGTTTGGCAAAGTCTGTAACTAATTACCACAAAATATGTTTGATGAATAACTGAATAAACTCGAATGTAAATCAATCTTCTTTGTTCCGTACGTTATAAATCTTCCTTTCGTTTAGCTGGAGCTTGGAGGGCATAGAGCTAATGTAGTTACGAGTTATCGCCAATATCACAAATATATCAGGTTTGTTAAGCAATGTAGTTAATTTAGAAATCGTTTTTGTCGTAAACTGACTTCAATTGAGAAATAATTTAAAACCAGGATCCATCGGAAATCTGTTTCGTTCTATTTCATAACTCTTCATTTGTGTGCGCTCTCAACTCCACTCAAAATCGTATCTTTAAAGCAATAAACCTGAATCAAGCTCACGGTTGCAGCTGCAATCATTTTGAGTTATAGTACCAATCCCATCTACAAATTACTGTCTCACCCTTGACTTGTTTAACTCTACCAGTTATAGTTCCTTATTTGAACTTCGAAAAACTCTTCTCAGATCCGATCAATAGTATGGACATAATTATTCATTCAGGTTGCTTTCTATTTTAAATCTTTCTGAATTTATATAGCTTCGAAAATCTTTTTTCTAGCTTCAGTACTCAACAAAACCATAATTTCTGTTTTAATCATATATTTGGTACATGTTTCACGTCGACTGTATGAGTGCGAATACGTTTCCGTATTCAGTAATTCTCAAATGAGTTTCATGCACTTTTTGATGGGTATTGGATTCTATATTGTCGCTCCTAGTTCAATTTTGCTTTCTCAAAGTAATGCAGGTAATTAAAACTCATTATTTTGTAAACTTTGTATGATTAACTATGTATTATCAATTTTATCTCTAGTTAACTATTTTATTATCCTTTATTGCTGTTCAGTAGATTCCAGTTATTCTTACGCAATATTTCATTTTCTTTCTGCTTGTACTTTTTTGTTGTACAGTAATGTACCGTGTAATAATATACGAATTTTATAAGAATCTAATTGGTTTTGGCAGTTACCAGATAGTAGTTAGTAGGCTTTAAATATAAAGACTATTTAGTGGCTAGCCTAATTAACTTTTAATTATTCGGTCAGAGATTCGAACCACGTTTCATCTATTTCTATATGAACTGTCAATATATATCACTAATCGTGAGACAGAAAGTGCTACTGAAAACCGAGTACGTTTATCACAATCTGGTTAATGAGCTACACCAACTTATTTAATAAAGTTAATAAATGTTATATTGATTCCAAAGATATCCCGATTATCCTTTTTTTATCTGTAATTATTGTGTAGTTAAATAGTAGATTCTTATAAACAGTGAAATCGATCATATTCACCACTGTTTTTATTGCTTAATATTGTTATTCGTGCTTCATCAGAAGTTCGATTCTCGAGATTTTATTATTTGAGTTTTGTAACTGTGCTATGATAGTTGGATACTGTTATAACTTATGAACTATGTGCCCTGTTTATTGTATAACGTAACGATACCGCCAATTAGAGAGCAGTGAATTTATCGATCGGACCAGCGACGCATAAAACCCGTACGAGCAGTCTAGAGTTCTTATTGGCCCTGCTTTCCGCCTAGCCCAGGCAGTCAAGTCCAGAACACCAATCTCGGCCTATGCGATATGAATAACTTATTTGAAACATACTGGGTTTATATACTGATCAGACAGACCACATCATACCATAAAATATGAAACAACATTTGTACAAGAATTAGCCAAATGTGGCTGTGAATGAAAGAGGTAGTAATTAACAAACAGGGCATAATTCAAGGATGGTAAATCGTATAATAATAGCTCAAAGGTCAAAATAAAGCTCATAACAAGAGGGACATGAATATGCAAAGTTTAGTTACTTAACAATTATACGATAAAAATATACGCATATTATTGGTCCATAAATGGATCCCAAAAGTCACCATTTTTCATTCTTATCGGGACATAACAGATACCAATTAATTAGTTTATACTACATGATACTCCAACGTTCAGTTACCACATAAAACAACATATAGCAATGTCAGGATGAGTATGTTTAATGTAATTCATTGTAAAGGTAGTGGAGTTAATCTGCAATAGAAATAATCAATGTATTAAGTCTAATTGTATGTCTTTCAGCAAGCTTTTATTCCTAGGGAGCATGAATTTTCACAATAGTCGTATCAACATAAAAACCTCTTGAAACAAGAATTTTATAGAGTACAAAACTTGTTTTCGACAAAGATTCAACTAACTGTAAACATGTTGCCCAGAACTGGTTCTTAAAACATATTGAAAAGCTCCGGTCGCGCCACCTCTTTTTTGGTAGGGTGAAGTTCAAACTTTATAGAGGGTTGCTAATCTTTAAGTGGGTCAAGATGTCAGTATCATAGGCAGTTAATGTCTAATCTTGACGATTTATCACGCTGTATAAATTAATGTGTTCAAATTATAAAATTAGAATATATATATCGTCCTGTCGCCATGTGACATTTTCATTTAGGTTAGAGCAAAAATTGGAATTTGCATTTTATCATTATCTTCCATCGTCTGAGTCTGTTGCCATATTGATACCTAAATTAAGTACTTTAGTGGAAGGACCAAAATTAGTTAGAAAGCTTCCATTCGGTAACTGGGTTGGAAGTATATGTTCACCTCACTCTTAAATATGTCCTTTTCCCTTAGAAAATAAGGCCAGATTTTCAAACAGTAGCATATCTCCATTTTCTCAGAGTCAATTCAAATCCTAATCGATAGTGTGTGCTCATCAGCATCTTTCACTTATCATACCCTATGTCTGTCAAATTTGTTCGATGTGTCACGTCAGTATATCTTCGTGGAGCGTCTCCCAAACTTGAGTAGGTGTTTTTGCATGTTTGTGGAGTTTCAAATTAATAGTTTACATATTCAAATTTTAACCGTCTCGTTTTTGGTTGTGGATTCTGTTCCCCCACATATTTCTTTATAGTTCACCAGATTTTACGTAGAGCATCCATACAGTGAATGTCGCTCAGCTCTAGTATAATCTTTATCTGTAGATTCACTATAACATTTTATTTATGTACCTTCATTAATTTGGTAATTTAACAATAACATCTTTCAGCTGAACGATCATATTTGACTATTGGCTTATTTAGTGTACACATGTTAATACTCCAGTATTTGCAGGATTTGGTTTTCCGACAGTTAGCTGCCTTACGTTCAGGGAAAAATAAAAACACAGGTAATTTTCACGTAATACATTTTTCATTTAATATACTATTTATGTACCCGTGATCTCACTATGTTCAGATTTCTGTCCGGATGATTGAATTTCGTGAGCATTCGACATTGATTGCCTATTGCTAGTGCACGTTGCCGACGGGTGTTAATCAGTAAAATATTTGGGTTTATAAGGAGTTCCTGTCAATTACCTCCAACCACACAAACAATAGGCTTGTTTAGCGTTTTAGCATTATCTTATGTGTAGATAAGTCTGAGAAAAGCAACTACAAATTTGACCACATCTTCCCATCATTTCGAAGCTTTTAGTTTAATTAGCTACTGCAGCCTGTCTCTGTCTTTTCGAAGAGGTTTTCAGTCGATAATCTAAATTATTTTACATTGTTACACCGAGTATCTTGCGTCAAAAACTTTCATTTCTCAGCAGTCAGTTACAGACTAAAAAATTTTCTATCACTCATTTACGAGAAGTGTACTTAAGCTTCAAAGCTAGTCTTGTTTCCTCTTAGTTTCAAATATATAACGCTGTCAAAACTGTTATTTTATCTGTGCGAGTGACAGTTAGTGAGTACTACTGTATTCAGAGTCTAAATTAACTTAATTCTACCACAGATTTGTTCCTATAACTTCACTTCTTAGTAACAAATTTCTGATAGATCGTGTTATTTCCTTGTTCCATATTTGATGTCACTAAAAATATTAGCAAATAACTCAAACACAGTAGTTATTATTTTGAATATATTCGATTCTTTATCGAAATCGAATCTTGTAGAGAGTTTTGTGTGAATTTTATAATGAACTGCATTCACCATTAATTGTGATGAATAAATTAATAAGTAGTCTAATCGAGATTATTGATCATTTAAATGGATTTGTTACATTATTGCAATAAGTAACGATATTTCAACACAAAATAAATAAATCTTGAAATAATAATCGGAGTAACTTCAAGGTGGCCCAAGGTTTTTTGTAAAATAATTACTTCAGTTCACTTACTGCCGTTTAAAACTAATATTTTATTTATTGTATGTTCATTCTTTTGGTAGCTAAAAATGCACTTTATTACTTATCGAACAGTAAGTGCAGGATTTAATTTGTCCTACAGATATACTACTAGAACTGTGAACGCGATACTGGCGATCCCAGAGTCTATGTGGAAGTTATGGTCAGAACAAGGACAACTTGGCTTTAAACTTTATCTGTCTCTACACGTAAAAAAACAATCCGATTAGTACAATAATTAAAGGAATTATATTCATTAAGTGGAACGTACAAGTATACCGACCAGTATTGCTTGTCTTATCGAAATGAATAAAAATTATGAATCACACTAATAGGATAATAATGTACTTCAATTGGCAAGTCACATGCAACAGGGTTAGTCTACAGACCATATTGACGTGGTGGGCGCTTAAACCACGATTTCCTTGGTTAGTTATGGACCCTAAAGTAATAACATCCCAAATTTATCATCTAATACAATATAACAGCCAACTACAGATTATTAGTTCACTCTATTTTGCATTATATTTCTGAGATGGAAGATAAAAATCAACTTGTTGCACAAACTGAAGTGGGTAGCCCAATGTTCAGATTTTGAGACTCATGAGTTCAATATTTAGTAACACTGCGAACATTAAATAATATTAAATTAGACTCTCTTAAAAAATAAGCCCACTGAATGTTTGGTATTTACACTGCAGTATTATATTTCTAGTGTTCAGAATGTTCAAATTCCTAAAAATGTATTTCTTGTTAACTATTAAACTTAGTGTTTTTATCACCGAACCTCTCTGTTATTGCTTTGTTTTTTCACTTAAAGACACTTATCAGCTTGTAATTGTGTTAATACGGTAGATTGTTATCCTATTTTTAAGAATGCAAATACATTTCTATGCAATAACTTTACAAACACCTGGTTTTCTCTAATGGAAACAAATTCTGTCATTTAAGATTAATTCCCTTTGAATTAATTAAACCTCGATAAGGCTGAGACATAGTTGTTTTTTCTTTCATTATTTACTTTCGTTAGTCTGACGAATATTCACTCAAATTATCAAATAATATCATACCTATGCTTTAAAGAATGCATTTATTTATTGTTATGCATGAACGTGATGAAGTTCTCTTCATTTTGAAGTGGTGAATTGGCATGCACAGTTTGCACTTTCACTGTGTTCAACTCATCTTTACCGTTCCGTCAGCTCGGTCTTTTCAGTTGCGATTGAATGTTTGCCATGAACTCCGTAGCTCCCTCATACATACCTCCCACGTAATCGAAATCCTTCGATCTCTTACTTTACATTCATTGACTATTAGTCAATTAACTGTGTTACAAAATGCAGTGAATATCATTTTAAATTAATAGCAACAACATTTCTTCAACACATCGTAATTAAATTAAAGAGTGTTTAAAGCTGTTATTCTTCACACTTCAGAGGTTGATAATGAATAGATTTTCACATTCTTGAATTAATCTAAGTAGCTTTTGAACAGATTAATTCACGTAGACTAGCCCTGAAGTTAAGCAGGTCAAGTTAAAAGATTAAGGAATTTTCGGATTATCAACTTGTTTATAAATGTTAGTTGACTTTTTAGATGTACAGTGACAGTTTAATTTCTCACTATTTCCATAGATGATATCTAAATAAAAACATTTTCATCATATGGCATAATATATGACCAAAGTTTTTATGCTTTATGTTGAAAGTACAGTATTTTTCGTTTATTAATTTTTCTTGAAGCTATTTATACTTAGTAAAATACTCTGATTTTAAAGTTTAGGAGTTTTCTACATTCAGTAGTAAGGTTTACCGTTATCCATGGCTTTATTGATTGTTCTTGTAATTCGGTAACAATTTATAACTGAATTCATCGCTTATTAGATTCATATTTATGTGACAAACTAGTGTCTAATATAGTATATTCAGTATTTTAGTAGCAGTAAAATCCAAAATAGAGAGTTTTAGCGTTTTTTAACGAGTTAGTTTTCTACGGAATAGGGTCGCTAACCCCGTGCCCAACCCGCCTTCTTTATCAGGGCTTGGAACCGGCAGTAGCTCCAGAGGGGCTCCAGGCGCAGTTCAGAACAGAGAGTGGTCATCTGCGATGCTAAATATCAGCAAAGAGAAATTACAAATCCTTACTAATACACAACTGTATTTGATAATTAGTTATCTTACTTCAAAAACGTTTTTGAGTCATTGATTAGTTATTTTATCTCGCATACTTTATGATTTAAGATGAAAACCAGTGAAGAATTGGTGATAAGTAACTAACCAGCTGGTGTTACTTGTTCTGAACTCTTGTTAAAGTAACATTTGCTTTAATTCAGTATATTTTCAAAATAGTTTTATCAACTGTAAACTTGGTCACTATGGTTATTGGTAAACACTTCAATAATTCAATTAGAAAATGCTAATTCACACAAATGATCGAAACGTAATGTATATGGAATTTTTCTGTCAATTCAATCTTTATCATTTTTTATTTATCTAGTTCCTGGAGGTTTGTTAATTTATTCCATCCAAAAAATATCTTAAAATTTATAATAAATCTTTTATAGACTTTTAGCTTAACTTTAATAGTCATGTGATTATGAATTATATTTCACTAACTGGGTAATTAAAAACACATCGGTGTAAATGACATGGTTTTATGTAACACGATTACAAGCTTTTTGTGATATAGATGGTAGAATATTAGAATTGTTCAGTTCACAAAACTTATTCCATTTATATGCTTAGTATTTATGTGTTCATCTAGCAAACTAATCGGTGAGCATTAGAACTACCATTAGAATATAAGCCAGCCAATGAAAATCAAATTACCTGACTTTGCAACGGTCTTATTGGGAAAAAAAAGTATGATAAATTATTTGTGAATTATACTTTTTGGCTTTGGATATTCTGCATGTTTCTAAATCATTGAAATAAAATTAGAATTCACTTAAACTATGGAATTCAAATTTTTATTTTCATATTTTTAAATAGCTTACCAACGTTTCGCTTAATTAAAAACATCTTATTGTTGTTTTTAGACAAGTTATCGGAGAAAAAGTATTATCCACCCGAAGGGAGCATGTTCTATTGGGTATCGTGCCCGCACTACATACTTGAAATATCAATCTACTTATCATGTCAGTTATTTATTACACCTAAATGGATACCATTTTCGCATATATTATTTTTCACGATATGCAATCAATTATGCTGTATATGGCTAAATCATAATTGGTATAAAAATAATTTCCCTGAGTGGGCATCTAAACGTGCTATGCTGATTCCTTATGTATGGTGAATATAAAAATGTATATTCACTTCTCTCTCTTAAACATAAACATCTTGATGTAAAGTATTTTTAGTTGTTGTTAGACTATTCATTTTATTCAACTGACTACGCATTATTAAATATTTTTTATGTGATTGTTTTGTGATATTTTTCTTTTCTATTCGAAAAGTTATTGTAATGTAAGTACATTCTTCCTTAAGAGCTGTTTTGAATTAAGGAGAACCTATCAAAAGAAAAGCTATTAATTATTGAGTATTCGTATTTTAGAGATCACAGAGATAATTTCGTCAGACACTCACTAATGTGCTTCGTGGCAATACATCAATGCAATGGCTAATATCGTGTTATTAATCGGCACTGTGTATATTTCAAAACGTCTCCGAATAGTACACCAAACCAATGTGGTGCATCAACGCCACGTAAAACCTGTAAGCTATAGCCGTATAAAACTATATTTCAAGAGTGTCAAAGATCACTTGTAGTTACTAAACTGTAGGTGCTTTCCAGAAATGCATTTTAATCTTAGTAGTGAGCAATATAAGCATAAGTTTTTATGCAGTAAAGTGATTAGAATGTTTGGGGTTCATGAAAAAACCAGTTTTCTTAGTTTAAGAACCCGACATCTTTTAATAGATTTATCTAAGAAATATTATGCCCCCTCAATCATGCTGCTTAGACACATTTCGTACTAAATATCCGATTGCCTAGGCACTCAATAGTTGTGATCCGTAGGTATTCTTCGTTTTCTACATTTCTGGGTATTTAGACCTGGCACATGGTTTGTTTATTTAAAGTCAAACTCGCAGCAGCATCACAAAAGCAGTCCATAGTGCGTGAACTGCTCTGCAATTTTGTGTAAGTCTGCTCCGTTTTCTGTTAAGTAATTCCATCAAGACAACAGTTTCAGTGACACTTGATGGTCACGATAAGTTATACCATAATCAGGCATTTATGATAAGCATGGGATTTGATTCTGTAATGTTATAGCCCCATCAGTTGGAACTTATAACTTTACAGTCATATGTTTTGTAGTCACAGTTGCCTGTGTTTTGAGGAACAACGTTATACTCTATTCCCTAGCTTTCGTCATAAGTTTTGAAATAATAAGTGAAGAGACGAAATCCTCACCGAAGACAGGTACTGACTGGTAATTTCAAAGAATATATATAAGGTGAAAGGATTAAGTTGAAGCAATAAGATTTGAAATTTAAAAGGTTGTAATACATGTATAGACTGTCTCAATCATACACTCACTAATTGTTAGTCCCCGATTGGCTATATCCGTTTGAGGATTATGGCACAACTCGACATAAAACACCTATCCTTTATGGCTACCTTGCAATTTTCATACTCCTATACTTCTACATGGAATCAAGTAGGATTTTCTCGTGACCATCATTGTCTTCGTCCTTGTTTGTGTTTGGGTCGATCCATTGGAAGTTTCTTGAGTGGCCATTTCGCCCGATTTTGTCCTGTCAAGTTTGTATTCGTTTTTTTCTCTTTTTGGACTTGATTTCGTAAGGCCTGGAAAACTTCGAGTTTAACATCCTTATCAATCACCAATGCAGAAGATGAGGGCTACTCAGGTTGTACGGGAATAGTGCGGGTTAGCTGACATCAAGGTCATACCTCACAATACCTAGGGTACACTACTGTTTCCTTGTATATAGGTACCGTGGCTACTTTGATGATTGTATATAGACGTTACTACAGAAGTGTATTAGTAAGGATAGGAAAAATAGAGTGCGACCACCAGTGTATCGGCGAGTCAGTGGCGTGCAAACTGATCCGAGCTGGTTGACGAGATTTGCTTGATCGTTCAACACAAGCCATGCCTGTTGGGTGACTAGACTGTGGCTCAGTGACATTTTGCTATCCCTCAGAGACAATCGAGCGTTTTATAACTCCCTTGCTAGCTCTGAACGATTTAATATTGTCCACACAACGTATCTCAGACATCAGTACCTTATTTATGGCCATAATTTTAACTTATGTGCTTAGTTGGGAAAATCTATTTGGAGGAAAGCTATTACCTTATACTTGAGTAAAATCTATTCGAATGATTGTGGACAGAATAAAAGGAGCGTTCACTTAACGGACTTCCATATCTAGTGGGAGTAGATTATCAGGTAGGAACCTAGGTATTTATGTAACCTTTTCGAGTTTCATTGTTTTATGATGGAACAGAGGTTTCTGCAAACTCACTACTGGAGATTAGCCAAATACATCTATGAAAAAAAACATTGGTAGATACCCTCAGTATAGCAGATTTAGCAAGTGAACAGGTTTTAACAATATGTCTTCATCTGCTTCAGCGAGTCTTTAAACGACTACTGGACAAAAATCGAACTTTTACAGCACTAATCGTCTGTTGACATTTGGATTTAACGATTGACCGACCATGTCATACGGTCTACCATGGATAAATGAATGAAAGAGATTCGTGTAGACACTGTTGACCAAGACATGATTCACTTTAATTTGTATCTTCATTAGTTACACAATTACCACGACCTACTTACCATTTCCTTCGTATATTTTGTACGAACATGCTTCCAGTGGTGTCATTTTGTGGCTTCCAAGTCCTAGATGAGTTTCTCTTCGTTCAGATATTTTGCTTCACTGTGATCACCTCAGTCATACTGCTATTCAGTGAAGATGTTGTTAAGGCTGTTAAAATTTTGGGTCCTTCAAGCAATTTTAGAATATTTTGGGTGCGGTTTTCTTATTCAAATTCAGCAAACCATTACGGAACAATAGTTGTGATTTTTTACCACTTGAGTCCGATTGTTGTATAAACTAGACTTTTTATATCTCCGCATCTTTCTTACACAAGCTGTCTGTAGTTCCAAGCATGCTCTTCAAGTCCCATTTTGCTAGTGATTTGCAGATGGTGTATCCATCTACTACCATAATAATGTTAAGCATTTGAACTTTAATGAATACATGATAAATTTCTGAAGCGTAGTTTATCTTCTAAACCATAGCATGTTGTATATTTACGTAGCAGTAATAACGAACCGATGCCTTTATCCAGTACTCAGTAAATTGTCAAGTAAACAACTACCTGGAAGAAGTCTGTAGCTTGCACTTACTGTGCTTGTGGCAAAACGGGATAGAATCTAGGTATATGACAGTATTAATTTGCGTATGTTTTTGGTAACCTATGTGAAGCATTTACAAGTTCTCAATAATCAGGTCAGTATTTCCAGTGTGCATTCAACAAATTGGTCATAGGGGGCACAATATTTCCACACAAGCGTATACACAAGGCTACATGGATCACACAACAGAGAACCAAATAGATCATATTTGCATCAACAAAAAATTCCGAAGGACAATGGAAGATGTGAGAACCAGGAGAGGTGCTGACGTAGCTTCAGATCACCACCTAGTTGCAACCCATTTAAAACTGAAGCTGAAAAAGAACTGGACAAGTGGACAAACAGCACTACAAAGGTTCAATACAGCCTTCCTTCGAGATACTGACAGACTCAATGAATTCAAGATAGCTCTCAACAACAGGTTCCAAGCCTTACAAGATCTACTGAAAGAAGAAGAGACTTCTATGGAGGACAACTGGAAAGGCATCAAAGAAACATTAACTTCAACGTGTCAAGAGGTTCTGGGCCTAAAGAAACACCATCATAAGGAGTGGATCTGTATAGAAACTCTGGACAAGATCAAAGAAAGGAAGAACAAGAAGGTAGCAATAAACAACAGTCGAACACGAGCAGAGAAAGTCCAAGCACAAGCTGAATACATAGAAGCAAACAAACAAGTGAAGAGGAGCATTAGAACCGACAAGAAGAAATACGTGGAAGAACTAGCAACGACGGCAGGAAAAGCTGCTAGAGAAGAAAATATGAAACAGCTTCATGATACAACGAAGAAACTATCAGGGAAATACAGTAAACCAGAGAGGCCGGTCAAAGACAAAGAAGGCAAGCCAATCACCGAAATTCAACAACAGCGGAACAGATGGGTGGAATACTTCGAGGAACTCCTGAATAGGCCGGCTCCAATGAATCCACCGGACATCGAAGCAGCACACACAGATCTTCCTATAGAAGTCAACCCACCAACGACGGAAGAAATTAGAATGGCCGTCAGACAAATCAAGAACGGGAAAGCAGCAGGACCCGACAACATACCAGCTGAAGCACTGAAATCAGACATCGAAGCAACCACAAGCATGCTTTATCTTCTATTCAAAAAGATTTTGGAGGAGGAACAAGTGTCGATGGACTGGAAAGAAGGACACCTCGTCA